CGCTGGGTGAAGCCAGCTCCCAGACAGCGCGAGTTGCTGGCAGTGGCCCTGGGTACAGCCCTGAACCCCTCTGATTCCTAGATCAGGGCACTGAACACCGTCACACAGGACAAGGCCTGGTCCTCCGCACACCGGGTTCCTCCACCCGGACAGCCCCATCATCCCTGGAGAGCCTGAGACGGCAGAGGGCAGGCAGGGCAGGCAGCTTTCTGTATGAAGAGGCAGGGTCATCTGAGGGGCTTCGCCATCCTGCAGATCCGTGGCATCACACCCATCTCAAAGCCGACTCAGCTGGGCTTGGAACCTTCCCTCGGTGGGGCAGACTCAGACTCAGTGGTTTTAAGGCAGGGCCTGAACCAGTCTCTCGCCCAGCGGAGCTAGACGGTCAGTAGGGCGAGATGGCCCGGGGTCCCACAGTGGGTTCTCAGCTAGGAGTCTCCTTGCCCCCAGGCCCCAACTCCAGGACTGGGCTCTGCCTGGTGCCAAGGGGCTGTCCACCTCTCCCAAACGGGACCTCTCTCTTCCCACTGAGGGCCCAGCTCCATCCTGGGCAGGCCTCTGTCTCAAGCCAGAACTTAATAAACTTGCTTTGTTTTCCTCGTGCTGGTTTTATTCTTACCTTCTATTTATGGCAAGTGATACCGGCTCCCCATTTAAGGCAGTGATGTTAACCGTTCTCTGAAAGTGTGTCTGGGAAGTGGGTCCCGGATTTAAAGGAACTACTTAGTAGCCAACTGATCGAGCCCCGAAACTCCTGACGTCCGAGCCCATTGAGCCCCACACTGAACAGGAGGGTGAGGTGCAGCTCAGTGGCAGGCCAGCGTCTCACAAACACGCGCGGGCGCACACAAGGGAGGCCCCGGCCAGGATCCCTGCACCGCACTCTCCGCGCAGGCACACGGGGCCAAGGCGACTGCACGTGCAGTCGCCCACGTGCCCGGCCACCACGTCCTACGCCCGGACCTCGGGAAGGCGGCGAGGCTCCGGCGGGCAGGCGGGAGGAGGGCTCGGGGACCCAGTGGGGCCCTGATGGCTGGAGGGGCGTGCGGACGAGAGCGTGGCGGAGACGGCCTCCGCGTTCCGCAACGCCTTC